GCTCAATGCACAGGGGAAGTACTGCAGACCTTGAAGACCTATGGCATAAAGTTATATTGACGAGAGGAGGCAGACTTGGAAGATGAGCATTACTGAGTTCCCTCAGACCAATCTGCCTCATGATTTCTACCACCTTCTCCACCTTCCTTGAGGGAAAGGGCCCGGTTGAATAATAGGAATCTAAACTGGATTTTGGTGAATGTGTTCCAGGCAGGAATGCAGCACCACTCTTTCAATTCTTTGAAAGGGTAGATAATAGTAGGACAAGGGGAACTGGTTTAAGTTGAAGGAGGGAAGATTGAGGTTGGATATCAGGGGGAAGCTCTTTCCTATGAGAGTGGTGAGGTGCTGGAACAGCTGCCCAGAGAGGCTGTGGATGCCCCGTCCATCCCTGGAGTTGTTCAAGGCCAAGTTGGATGTAGTCCTGGGCAGCCTGGTCTAGTATTAGATATGGAGGTTGGTGGCCCTGCATGTGGCATGGAGGGTTGGAACTTCATGATCCTTGAGGTCCCTTCCAACCCAAGCCATCCTGTGATTCTGTGACCACCTCTCTACACCATGTTGTAGCTCCGGAGAGGTAAATTACAAAGAAAACCAGGTCCCCTGTGGTTCGAGAAGCAAAACTTATGTCCTACTGACAGCTGAACTTGATTTTCTGAGGTGGCTGGAGTAGCAGCAGAGTCACATTATCGGCCTGTGTTTGGCTTCATCCCGACCCCCTCTCCAGGCCAAATTTATAAATAACGCTCATTTCATTATACTTTTCATTTCCTGGACTAGCAGATCAATAGTCCAGGCACATAGAAATATAATCCAAATCTTCTCTTCATTCCATTTCAGTTCTTATCACAAAAATGGCTTACCCTGAAAAGAACTTATACAAAAGATTGTTGATTCTGCCAGGATGGATGAAAGCTAAATCTGTAATATGAAGAGATGAGAGAATTCGAATAGTCAGGAAAAGGTAAAGGCATCTGGGGTACAAAATAATTGTGCAATTTTAGCGGTAGCTCTTTCACCTCTGTTTTCTTGTGTTCATATTATTATTATTATTATTATTATTATTATTATTATTATTATTATTATTATTCTAAGTAACATCTCAGACACAAAATGAGCATAGTACCTGAAATGGGAAAAAGATCAGAAAAGCTACTCAGAACCCTAAAAGAAACATTAGTATAATTTAGAAACTATTTACTGGATCAGTGTTTTTAAGGTACATGTGAAAATAGTGTGAGTTGAAGTGCTGAAAATGAAGTTGTGATTGATGTACTGGCTTGGTGCTGTGTCCCATTTCAATTGCAGCCTTAGGAAGATCTTTCAACCCCTCTGGAAAGAGTTCCCTACAGAGAAATTGTACTCCAAAAAAAGAGACTGGTCAGTGGGGCTTCTCTGGTTGCATCTTCCAAAAAGTTCAGCCACTTTTGTCAGAGAATCATAGAATTATTCAGGTTGGAAGGACCACTAAGGTCATCTAGTCCAACTATCAGCCCATCCCCACTGTACTGCTAAGCCATGTCACTCAGTGTGACTTCTGCCTTTGTTTTGAAAACCTCAGGGATGGTGACCCCCATCACCAATAAAAAGATTGCATCTAAATCTGCTAACATCATATTAAGACCAAATAAGGCCAGTTATTGTTGTCCTTAACACTTTTTCTGGAGACTTTGAAGAAGAGAGGTCATCTGGAGCAGCTGATAACCAAGCTGCACTCCTCAGTTCCAGCCCAAAGTTGCAGCAAGAGCAAGATGGTGTTTGCCTGAAAAATTGGCTAGAAGTCACTTTTTCATCTGTCTCACAGCAGAAAGCACCAGGAGCCCCAGCTCAGCTGTGACCAGTAGGAAAGGAAATCAGAACAGGCAGTAGGAAGTCTCCAGCCATGCAGTGGGGACACAGTGTGACTGTTTGTGTCCTTTTGTGTTGGGAACATCAAACCTTTCTGTCGCTATGAGCTGTAGGGGAAACATCTGAGCACATGGTTGGCCACTGCTGAAATAGAAAAGTGCAGAGATCAAACCAAGCACTGGGTGCAGAACCAATGGGAAGGGGTTGCAGGAAGGGGAATGAGGAAGAAGGGCTGCAAGGCTGTGCCTGGGCCACTCACCAGCAGTGGAGTCTCCATTTCTGGCAGCATCCTGCTACAGGAAGCACTTGCTGAGTCAACAGGAAATGACAGACAAACATGAAGTATTGGAGAGGAAAGCAATGTTGCAACTTGGGATGCAGACAGCAATGTTTTTGTCAACGCCGTCACGTTGGCTGCAAATTGCTTTTATTGAAAGAAGGTTGGAAGATGGAGAGTTGATCCTGCTTCACACCTCCCACCTCCAAGAGATGTGCACAGAGTGAGTTTGCAATGCCCTGGTGACTGCACGGTGCCCCATGAAGTTCAGCATCAGTACTTCTCTGTTGCTTGCAGGTCATAATTGACAGCAGAGGTTTAATTAAATAAAAACAGCACAGCCGTTTCTTGCTAAAGCAGCAGACCCTAATCATCTGCTAGAAATGGATGCCTCCCGCTCTCACTGAGGATAAACACTTGGAGCACTTGCAAATTCTGATAAGTGAGTTCAAGCCTTCATTGTTATCTTGCTTTTTTTATACTGCAGAGTTGTTGGGAGGAATAAAAAGAGCCAGAAATCTTTATTATTCTTCCTTAGGGATTCATTGCATTCTACTTTACAGTGCATTGTTATATTACCAATTGTGACTGTACATGTTCTTAATAAATACGTAGTGTTACAAAGATAATAACACTCTTATCTCATTAATGACTTTGCACTAGTGTAAATGAAAATGATTATTAAGTTAACAGTAACCTTGATGCAGGGAAAAAAAGATTCGATGGTTATTTCCTTTCACAGATCAGTGTCGTTTCTCTTACTAAAAATATCTTCTCAGCCCCAATTCTTTCCCGAGACAGTTCTGCTGCCTATCAGCACTGCAATGAATGAAGACACCATATGTGCATTCCTTCCAGCAAGTACACAGGTCTTTAGGGGTTCGGTGTGAATACTAGCATATGGGTCAGACTGATATTTCTCTTTTTTGATCCAGAATCAAAAAAGAAATGGTGTTACAGCAGACTTCCGAGACAGTTCTGCGTTGTCTCGTCCAAACAGCTTTTCCTCTCTGATTGCTCATTCCTCAGGGTCATGGGCCAGTAGTGCATGCAGCCACCTTTGCTGCTGCCTGGATGTGTCAGACCACCTTCATTGCCCCGGTTTTGGTTCTGCTCTGTAAAATAGAGCAAAGCTGGGGTCATGTCCTGGGGAAGTGCAAGCTTCCCAGGCGGGCTCAGACGTTGTGTCAGAGGGGGATCTGAGAGCACACAGCCAGCTCAGGTGGTGTGGGGTATGTCCAACTGGTTGCATCGCTCCATCCCATCTGTTCAAGACACAAGCACTTGGCCTGGCACAGCCTGGAGAGACTGAGGTTGCTGCGATGTTCTTTTGATCTCCATGACTGCAGGAGCCATTCTGTGAGTTCCAGAGGTCATGTTGCTTGGCATGAGTCACTGGGAGCTGTGCTGAAGGGGACAACACCCTGCAATTGCAACCCATCAGAACAGAAAATTTTGTGGAAGCAAATGCATCGTGGCACTATTTAAGTGAGTCAAACAGATCATTAGGTCATCCCATGTTCTTTAAAAATAGTCACCTCCAAGTAAAGAATCAAATGCAGAGATTTTTGCATCCCTGTATATATTTCTCAAACATTTTTTTTCTGTTCAGGAGACAGCTGAATTTGGCATTGAGAGCACGTCAAGCTGAGTACCAAAGCTTTTTGCATGACTTTACTCCACTGTAGACTGCGCTGACCTAAAAACCTCCTATAGGAGCAATTAATACCAAGCAGTAGTATGTTCTACAGCAGAGAGAATAATCTATTCTCCACAAATTGCTCTCAAACATATGGTACCTCCTTAGTCTGAAATGAGAGTTAAGCCGAAGTGCTGAATGTGCAGTCAAAAGGAAAAAAGATATTGCAAGATTTCAAACGCTGAGCATGGATATCCTAAACTTAAAAACCAAGAGCTTATGTAAGCTTAAACCTTGAGATTTTTAAGTCTGCAAAATCTGATAATTTTAAAGTTATTGTCCTTCCTACGCTGAACCCTGTCACATTGCTCATTTGCTTTTATAGTTGGTGGACATTTTTATACACTAAGGCATAAATTTAACAGAATAAACACTGGTGTGATATACTACAGATGGCAACTGCAAAACAACCAAGCATTGGTTCTCGCAGTGAATTTAGCTTCAGAGTTTCCTGGTTTAACAGATGGCAAATGTCAAGGCTGATGTTGCACTAATGTAGACTTGTTCAGTGTAAACTTTTGAGGGAGGGAACTTGTGGTCAAATTCACAGAAAATCTGCATTAAGTGGTGTCAGTACGTTACCCAAAATATTCACTTGTGGTAACAGCATCTCAACTAAGAGTATATTTGCATGGATGTGCAACTCATCTCAGATATTTGGGCTTGGCTTTCCAGTTTGGTGCTTTCTGGGATTTATAGTGGGATGGAGACTATCTACAAGCACCTGGTGGCAAGCATTAGGAGAGATTCAAAATGGAGAATAACTGATTGAACCTGACAGCCTGGAATAGTGTGTTTCTCTATTTCTGATTTGTAAATGTAAAGAAGATGGTAAGAAGATGTGGCTGTATCACTATGGGATCCTGCAGTAATTCAATCAGTGATCCCTGGAGAGCTTCATGAATGACATGAGAGCTTGACTGAGCTATCAGCAAAGCCCTGTTTCTTGCACTATTATGACAGTGTTACTAGACTTGGGTATAAATGAAATGTAGCTGAGTTTTACAGAAAAACATGGATTGTTTGTTCACCTTTCCACACTGGCATTGCTGATCTGTCTTTCTTCACCACTCTGATTTACAGCACTCCATAAAGTGTCTACTAAGGCCTCCCATGATTGTTATCTCAAAGTCTTTTTTTTTTTTTTTTTAATTTTGTCTTGCTTTCAAGCCACCAGAAGCTGACAGTTTTAAGTATAAGAATGGATTGAATAAATTTATAATGGTCAGAGGGTACCGTGACATTCAGAGGTGTGGAGGAAAGTGGCCAGGTTCCCAAACACTGTGAGTAAATATGGCAATATAACCTTGGCAAGTTAATGCAGCATCAGTTGCCCATATCCAACATGATAATTTTACTATTCAGAAATACTCTGGGGAACTAAACATACCTCATGATTGCCATTCAGAAACAGAATGGTGATGAAATGCTGAAAGTCTTGGTTCTTGAGCAAAGCGCATCGGTATCTGGGACATAAAGCTAATTTGTAATGCGATTTTAATTCATATAATCAACAGAAAGACTCTGAATACCAAAGTGAAGGTTTTCTGAAGTGAAGATTGAGTTCTGTGCCAGTCCTTCTGTGTGAAACCAACAGAAACTGTAATTATTGTGGTCAAGAGTGAATATTTTGATGCCTTAATATCCAGTAGTGTTTAACAATGGACAGTTTGCCAATGCAACAAGAAATAAGCAGTAGAGATGCAGGTTTTCCAAATCTGATCTCTCCAGTGGTGCTCCTCTGCTCTCACTTTGAGGAGTGCCGGCTCAGTGTGCATCTCTGTCCTCAGTACTTTTGGGTAAGAGTCAGAAAATCATTAAGGCTGGAAAAGACCTTTCAGATCCCCACGTCCAACCCCCCACCATGCTCACTAACCATATCCCTCAGTGCCACATCTCCATGCTTCCTGAACACCTCCCAGCATGGGCACTCCATCACCTCCCTGGGCATCCACACGTTTCATGCAATCTGCGTAGTAAAGCTTGACGTTAATATTTCATTTTTCACCAGAAGCTCTCAAAGCTCTTTTCAAAGCTAATTAAGATTCACCTTACCTTTAAGAATGGGGCAGATATCCTCATGGCAAGAAGAATAAGGATGGGAGAGGCAAAGTGACCTACTCAATGTCACACAGTTTCAGTCTTGAGCCTGAAACACAAAGAGCTCAATTCTTGGTAGTTTGCTGTAACCACTAATGAATAGTAATGACTGACCATATTGATAATTAATAGCACTTTCACCATGCTTAGCACAGTTAAAGTGCTGCTGAAATACTAATTCATTCACCCTCTCTGAACACTGAGGGTATGTAAGAGCTTCATCCTTCAACTCGCTCAGCTTTGCACACATGGGAGACCGCTGACTTAATCAGTGGAAAGCAGAGTGTGGAAGTGATTGAAGGATGAGAAATGAGAGAGGATGCTCACATTGTTTGGCACCGACGGAAGAGTCTGATGTTGGAGTGCTTGAGTTAAGAACTTACCATCAGCAGAGAGAAGCAGGCCCCATCAGATGGCCATTCAAGTCATCTAAATGAGGAGCTATTTCTCTCCGTGGAGCCACTGGAGAGCCCAGCATTAGAAGTCTCGAGCAAGATGTGTGAATACTCTCCCTTAAGTGCTGATTATTGTTCCCAATTTGCAGGTGGGTGAACTGGAAAGGACGGGACTGTGCCAGGTGAGGTGAACTGCCTGCAGTGGGGAGGCTCCCTCCTACCCCTGGAAATGTGGATGAGAAAAAAGAACACAGAGATGAACAAACCTCAAGGGAACACGTTCAGGCTGTAAAAATACTGAGGCAGTACCAAGATATCTGGAAGCTCTGTTGGCATACCCTGTGAGTCATGGGCGCTGTATATTACATGCTCAATGCTTATTCAACAGAAGTAATTTCTCATGCGAGACCACGGGAGTCAGAGAAATTGGCTTTGCACCAAGGTGCCTGATTCAGCAAGATGTTACCAGCACGGAGGCTCTGCTGCTTCTAAACACCGGGAGAGGGGAAGCAATCATCATGAAGAGAAAACAGGAGATCCCTTACGGCTTTGAGCATGGCAGTGTTTTAACTGTGTGAGTATAAACTCATCAGTGAAAAATATGCAGTAAGAATAGGCAATATACACACGGGATTCATCCCTCCCGTGCTGCTTCTTTGTATGATGCAGACTGAATGCTGCCTCCCTGTTTTCTGCCACCTCTGGCACTCCCCCTGAAGTCAAAATTCTGTTGCAGTGACGGCAGTCATTAAAAATGATGAGATAAGAAAGTGTTTACCAGTTTTATTATTGCAGATGTACTGGAAGAATGATTGCACCTCAAAATGTCTCTGTAATGAAGCCTGACTTAGCGGGGAAAAAGGCAGAAAAAAAGGCAGAAAACAAAAGGAATATTCTTTTTTTTCTGAAATTAGCAGAGAGAATTACACTTGGAGAAAACATTTATCAGTATGTCAGCAAGGAGGTATGTGGTTTATCTTCATAATAATGGTTTTCATAACTTTGAAGGTAAAGACAGCCTATCCAGCTCAATGTTTTTCACATCACATCTAGCAAGTTAAATGACTTTATTTGTGTACACAAAACAAAGGCAAACACAGCAAAGCGTGCTAGCAGCATCACCCTGCAGCTGGATAGGGTCAGGGTTCCTCACCCGGCCTGGAGGGAAGGAAGCATGGCATGAATTGTTGTTGCACAACCAAACCCTCTTCTAAAGGGTCTGACCTCACGCACTAACCTCATCGTGACTTCAGGCCTACGGGAACTGCACTGACCATGCCGTTCCCTGCACCCAGCACCATCAGGGGATGCTGCCTGAGGATGAAACCAGAGCCTACAAAAGCATTGAGAGGCCTCAGCCTGTGGTTGGGCTCTACATTTTGGCCCCTCTAACCTCATTGCAGCCAGTTAGCAGAGTCTTGCCAGCTCTGAGCACCTCCTGGATCCCCTCTCATACAGGCACTGGATTTGCTCTTCGTATATGGGATTTCTATTGCAGCAAATGGCAAGTCCATAGAGTGACCATCATCCCTAAGTACTCCAGTAAAAAAAACAACCCTGGTAATTGAAATATTTACACATCATGGCTAAAAGAAACAGTCTTTTTCATTTCATTATTACCTTTTTCCCCAAGCAATATAAAGTGTTTATTCAGAATGTGAATGTGAATAATTCTTAAGATGCATGGCCTGCATGGCCTGATTTTTGGGTGGTCCTGTGTGGAGCTGGGAGTTGGACTCAATGATTCTTACAGGTCTCTTCCAACTGGAGATATTCTGTAATTCTATGATTCTATCACTGCATGTTTATTAAATGTGCATGAGATTCATGCAGTCTTTTTTCAGTGCTGAAGGTGCTGTTGAAGTTTGGGGTTTGGATGGAAATTACCTTTAGGCATGAACAGATGGCAAAGGGGGAAAAAACAGGGTATGCAAACTTACATTTATAAGATGTATAACTTTTTATAAAACACAGTCAGTCTGATTTTTCTTGAGGCAAAATTGTCAACATGATAAGAGATGCAGAATCCAAGTATTGCTTAGAACATGTACCTGATCAAATTTTAAATGTTTCATTTTGAATCCAGGAGATGAAGGGTAATAATGTATCACATGGAAGGAGAAATGCTGGGCAGTGGAGTGCACACAGAATGTCCCAGTGACCTACAATTCCCTGCCAAAGGCACAGGGGTAAAGGATGTGGATTTTATAATGTTCCTGGAGATGTTTTAAATACACGACGCAGAGGAGAAAAGATTACTGCAGCACAGAGCAACACTCTTCCCTCCTCACTCACAAAAGCAATAGGCAATAATTGAGCTGTGCACGTGGGGAGACTTATTTTCTTCATGAAAACAAATAATTTAAATAAGAGCCAAAACCAGCCAAATGTTGAGCCTCTTGGCTGCCAGCTCATGCATATACCACGGCTGTGAAGAGCCCTTGGTTGGTGCCACACTCTTGAGAGGAGGAGCAATGCAAATCGGCACACGTGAGCTCTTTGTGGTGCCAATTGGAACCCATCTCCACTTTCTTCTCAATCCAACTCCTAGCTCGTATTCTTTTAGAGGATCACAGAGCACTGAGCTGAAAATTTCACCTGCTCTAGGAGCTAAAGGCGCATATTTCCAAAAGCAGCAGGCTTCAACCAGCTCCAAGCCTTCTCGTTGCATGCGGAGACACAAAAGCATTATGATAATTCTGAGCGCTGAACCATTTAAAATCTATTCTAATTGATTCCTGGCTATTCGTGATTCCAGCATGCTGTTCAATGAGTGGTAGATAAAAGTAGCAGGAGGTAACATCTTCTGTACTGCTGCAGGGAGATCACGCCTAAAATACAGCGTTCAACTCTGGGCACCTCATTGCCAGAGAGATGCAGACAAATTGGAAGGAATTCATAGAAGAGCATTAAAAATGATTAAGGGTCTGAAGAGACTGAGTTATGAGCGAAGATTAAAGGAACTTAATATGAATCACTTGGCTAAACGATGACTAAGAGGGAAACGATACCCTTCAACAAGTACTTGGAGGGCATAAATATCACAAATAAAAAGGAATTATTTAGGGCGCTGAAGGACGTGCCACTTGGGATAAAAGGATGGTGTTAGGCAAAGGGAAACTGGCTCTGAATGTACATCGTTAAAGTCTAACAGACCATTTAAGGGAAATCCCGACACATTTGTCTAACTCTGCTGCAGTATTAATTTTTGCCTATGATAGTAAAAAATATCCCATTATCTTCAGTTGAAGATTGAGAGAGGACTCCTAAATGCAGTCCAGGGATGTATGGGAAACAGGCATCACTCCCAATGGCAAGTTGGGAAAACAGCAAAGAAATGTTCAGAGCTTGATATACCCTTTACCCAGCACCAAAGGATGTATAAGACATGAAACCAGTGATCTGAATTTTAAGAATGTGTCTGTTGCCAGGATACCATGGGGAAAATAAAAGTAATAACGCATTTCTTTACAACATACACATTCCATTAATTCTGGTGAGAGCTGTACCAATATTTTAATGGGAAAACAGTTCACAAGGAAGAATAAATCTTTCTCTAATTTTCTCCTAGAGCCATTGTGCGGCTGAAAGAAGTGCCAAAAGGGAAGAAATGCCATGGTGTGGCAGCCCTGACCCCGGCCTGTCTTAGAAAGCAACTGTGCATTGAACAGGATTGAATATCAGCATGAAATCAGACTTGGGCCATGCCTTGATCAGCAGAGCGGATCAGCGGCGCAGCGCTGTGATTCCTAAAACTGCTACCACGTATATCTACATACATCACCTTGTGGTTCTTTGGGCTTACTGCATGGAAACTGCCCGGCTGCAGCCAGAAGTCCCCAGCCAGGGGGCAATCCCAACCTGATAGCTCCTGCAGATCGGGGGGCTTTCGGTCTTTCTCATTGCACTGACACCCAAGGTCAGGGGATGGGCTCTGAGCGCCTGATGGAGCTGTGGGCATCCCTGTGCATTGCAGGGGGTTGGACCAGATGGCCTTTAGAGGTCCCTTCCAACTCCAACCAAGCCTTGAGAAAGGCTTTGGAAACAGTGCCTGGGAGGTCATGGGAAAAGGGCTCCCCAGAGCAGCAGGAACAGGAAGCAAAAGCCTCTGGGGTGGTTATGGGCAATGAACTTCTCCATTCAGTGCATGAGGCACAGAGCAGAAACATCAGCATTTCCACCTCTCTTTGCAAGGGTAACCTAAAAATGCTGACACTATAGTGCAGTCCATTTCCCCAGATTAGCATCCCATCAAAACTGTGCTCTGAGGACACATTCCTACTAGTTTATCACAGAGTTACATCTGGCTGTAAGTGTGCAGCTCTATGGGCAAACCCAGCCAGTGAGCCTCTCCTCCAGGCCTCTGCCCCCAGCATGGTCAGCAGCTTGAGACGACAAGGGCGAAGGACTGGCTTACCTTTAAAAAATCACCTTTCACCTTCATACTTGTGCACTCCCAGTTGTACTTTTCAATGGGAAAGAAGGCTGTCCCACCTTTTTCTGCTAGATAAACTTGCCCAGCACAAAGGAATATGTTCAAACTTGTTTGAGCAATGGGGTGATCCTCTGTGTTGCAGGGTGAGCTTGGAAAGCAGCAGAACATGAACAGAGGTGGAGGTCAGGAGGTTTTGTTTTGTGAAAACCAACCTTGATGGAGACAACGTTCCTATGATTTCTCTGTTGAAATCTGTATTGAAATTGAAGGGAGAATGCGGCATTGAGTGTCATGGTGAGTGGGCATGGTGGGGATGGGTTGGGGATGGGCTTGATGGTCTGAGATGTCTTTTCCAACCTCTTTTGTGGTTCAGAAGAACTGTAGTGCTTCTATGATTCTACAATCTTGAATCACTAGAATCAAAGCCCAAACTTGGCTGTATAAGTGATTTATTCTGATTGCTCTTTTTTTCCCCCGAGTATAATTGTCCACAATAACATAATTAGTTGCTGGAAAGTGACTCATGATGCCCACACATGTTGGATTTCCCTCTCCACCTCACCAGATAGCACTGAAAATACACAGTGAAGAGACAACCTTCGGGGACCATCTGGGACATTGTGGATGCTGCAGAGAAACATTGACTCCAGGTGTCTGTTGGTAGAGAACAGCGCTACAGGTCATTCCCCAAGGAGCAAAGATTTTGTTTTCCTGGCGTTTCTTTGAAATTGTTTAAAATACATTAAAAGGAAGGAAGGGAGTATAATTATGTAGTGATATGACTGCACGTAATTGCAGTTCAGAGCATCTCACGAGGCCTAAAAAGGCCATGAAGGGCAGCATGTTTAACCCAGGGCAGGAACATGGGGTGTGTGTGAATATTCCCAAAGTCACAGGTTTCCCTCAGTCAGCTGTTCTGCTCTGGGAGGATTTTGCAATGAAAAATCAGTGAGATTCCAACGTGACCCGAGCAGAGGTTCTCTAATCCATCCTGAGCTCACTCACACCACAGGGAAGGAAATCTGTGGATGCGTGTTTTTAAGTCCAACCCTTCATTACCTACATGTGGTCTCACAGGTGTATAATCAATCACCCATTGGAAATTCTTAACCTGCTTGGCTCCAAATCCTTAGTTTGGAAGGCTCTGTTTTGTATTTTACTATTTCATCATTTGTGGTTTCTTATACTATTAAATTTGTATTTTACTGTGGTTTCACTTCAAAGGATATTCCCACAAATGGATGTTTTAGATGCTTCTGAAAGGGAAAACCTTGTCCCAAAATGCAGTATCTTCACGTTTAGCTCATGCTTCATTACATCAACTTGTTGGCAGTAACACTGCTGAGCTTTAAGCGTGTGGATTGAAGCCCATCCGAGGCTTCATGCAGTGACTGGAGGGCAGCGTGGAGGGCTGCACACACTGGGATAAGAAGCAGCACGTTGTGTCCCAGAAGGTACGTGCACAGGTTGTGTGGATGCGTTAATAAACGGCTGTGCATTCACATAAACATGTATACATACACACGGCAGGGTACTAATGAAAACGTTGTACTTATTGAGTACTGGCTTCTGGCTTCTTAGTCAGTGTTTGTGAGCATTTCATTACAAAACTGACGATGGCGGTACCGCGAGGAGGGATGGGGACCCGACACGAGCCGCGTCCCTCCTCGGCTCTACCTCCCCCCTATTTCCCCCCCGCCATGCTCTGCGATGCTCTGCGACGCTCTGTTCGCTCGGGAGGGACGGAATTTCCTGCGGGATCCCTCGGGAAAAGCCCATCTCCTTCGGAACGCTTCCTCCTCGGAGCGCGTATATGTGTGTGTATATTTGGAGGGGGGAGGCACTGCTGGGGACCTCCTCCCCCGCGGAGCAAAGCACGCCTCCTAATGGGCTGCGCAGCGCGGCCGAGGAGTGGCGCGGGGCCTCTCCCTCCCTCCCTCCCTCTTTTTCTTCCTCCTCCTCCCCCTCCCGCAGGGCAGAGGCGGCGGGTGCAGCGCGGATGGGCGGCCGGAGCGAGCTGCGGGCGCGCCTCCCGGCTGCAGGGAGAAGCAGGAGGTAAGAGATCACCGCCGGGTTTGGGGCTCCCTGGGTCGCCTCTCCTCAAGTTTGGGAGGCCAGCGGGGACTTTGCGGGAAGTTGGAAGCACGCACTCCCCGCATCGCGGAGCCCGGAGGGGGCGGCCACGGGGGTGCGATGCTGCTGCTGCCGTCGCCAGCCGGAGGAACCGCGGGTTCGGAGAGAAGCGTGCCGGTACCCCCGTAACCCTCGCCTTGGAAAGCGGGGTCTGGGAGCTCCCCTCCCGCGGGTGGGTGCTGGGAGAAGCCGGGGGGATGTGCCCACACGTGGGGCGCGGGGAATGGGGTTTGCCGAAGGGATGGTGATGGGGATAATGGGATTTGTTTTGGGGACGGTGACAAAGATTCGCTGTCGGCTCCTCGCTGGCCGTGCCGATTAGGGGAAGCGCTGTGCCGGTTGCTGAGATTTGGGAGAGCGGCTGCATGAGGGTTGCATCCCATTCGGGCAGCGCGTCTCTGGAATGAAGCTGTGGATGGATGTTGCCATTCTCCGCTGCGTATTTTTAGGTGAAGAGGGGTATTTCTTAAACGCGAGCTGTTAGCTGGTAAAAATAGCTTCCTGCGCGCATCTGCCGAGAGTGCTGTCAGGGTTTGGGGATGGGTTTTTATGGGTGAGAGGATCTTCAGCAGCAATTCTCCACCTGAACTTTGTCGGTGTCATAAAGTGAGTTGTTGGGGGGTGGGTTGGTCGGTTGTGTTTGTTGTAACACTACTCTGCAGTGCCCTGGGATGACAGAGCAGGATGACAGAGTTCAGTTCTTAGATGGCACATCTCAACACTGACCAAACTTTCAGATATGGAAATATAAGTTTTTTGGGGTTTTTTTTTTTTTTTTCATTGTATTCTATGGTTTTGGGCCCAAAGGTGTCTTCCTATTGATTTATTTGCATGTGACATAAGGAAAGTTTCGCTTCTTGAAAACTGTGAGCATCCAGAGAACCAGCGTGTGCCGTTTGTGTGTGGTGAGCAAGAAAAGGGCAGAGCGCTCAGCTGAGCACATTGCAGGTTAGAACTCCAAGTTTGCTGGAGCTGTTCGTGAAGGGTAAATATTTTTAAGGTCTTACTGAAAACTTTGTGCTCACAGGTGTAAACAGGTGCCTAAATGAACAGCATTGCACTTCAGGCTAACTGGGGAATGCCTGATCTCTGGCAAGAAGGGAAATTTCCATTAGTGAGATGTCACAGCATCTCTGTGAATCTGTGTGTACGTTTATATCGTTGATACTCATATAAATTGATACAAGTATTTCATATATAGAGACACATACACGTGCATACACATATATATACTCACACTTGAACAGTAAATACTGATGGAATAGGTGTCCTGGAGCTTCTCTTTGATAGCAATCAAAATGTTGTCCCACATCTCTTGACTTGAGAGCTCCTCTGCTGCTGATGCCACCCCACTGTGTTGGGCACTGAGTCAAAGTATTCATCTGGCTCTTCGTGTGCCACCAGGAGCAAAATCAATTTGAATGCAGAAAGGATGAAACTACCTCTGTGGTGATTTAGTAGGGAAACTAATTTGTGGTTTTTTTTCCCCTTTAAATGGCACTTAGATCCTGTGCCTCCAAGTGCAGCCAGCATGCAGTTCTGACATCAATAACAAAACAGTTTTATGGTTCAAATTTTGTAATAGGAAGACTAATCTCAAATTCAGAGAGCTTTATTTGAGGGTCTGGAATGGGAACATGATGAAACAGTGGAGATTTGCATGACAAAACACTTAATTCCACTAATGCAGTGGAAGACAGTAATGGATTTTATCTTTGCTAAACAAAAAGGAGTTATCTGGGAACTCCAAATGAGCAGGTTGGAGCAGGCTCTGGTGTTTGGATAATTTCGTGTGGCTGAAGTGGAAGGATAAAGTTATATAATCCACTCGCAGCATTAGCAAGGATGGGATTATGTGGGCATAATCAAAGAGAGGCAAATAAGATCCTGCTGATATTTTAAAGCTATTTTAAGCAACGCAGACATTGTGCTATTTGTACCTGGAGGCAGCGAGATTTGGGAGCTGTCGTCTTAAAGTATAGAACATTGCTCTGTAGTTACTGGCTGGAATGGGTTGATTTGCTAGAAGCAGGCTGGTAACTGTCAAATGAATATAATCTGAGACACATGGCAGGTTTTTATGGTGGGAAAAATGGAAATAGCCAGAAAGTCATAGGCCCGCTGGACAA